ATATTTTCCGCTAAGTAAAATTTATTCCCAGACACTTTTTGACTCATTGATTGAGGCGCTTGAGAGCGACCTAAATCACTCAATTTGTTCTTGTGATTGTGAGTACTAAAATCAACTATGTCTAATTGTAATGTTCAAAGCTCTACAAATTTGTGAAATTATATTTGCAACAAATTTCGTATTATTATCACTTTAAAAAACCAAAAGAGGCTTAAAATTTAAAAATATCCTTAAAAAGATATACTGTAACTATTTTTGCTTTCTTATTTTTAATTAAGACTAAAACAAAAAATTTAAAGAACATACAAACATAGATAAATAGCTACAAAAACCATCATTCTCTTTAGCAAAATCGTAAAAATTAATTAAATCAATTTGAATATGCTGCCAAGGACTCAGCAATACTACAAATATTAACCCTATCTCTAAAACCCTGAAGTACAATAAAAGCATAATTATATAAATATATATGCATAAACTTCAAGTAAGTTTAAACCATATAAGATATATTTACCATATTTTGCTTGTGTTTCTCTCTTGGTTTTCCTATTTGATGCATGTTGTTCTTTCAATTCATTTTCCATTGCAGTTGCATGAAATGCTAAATACATTAGGTTATGTTTTCTTTTCTGACCTCTAGTAGGTTTTAGACGCTAAATCATAAAATATGTCAATTTTATGTCTTTATATTTACACAATAAAATAATGTGATTTACCGCAGATCCTTCGCTTGATCCTCTGGTTGGTTTTGACAAATTAGCAACTTGAGATTGCCACGAATCAGCCATTTGGTCGGCCGCGTTAATTTCTTTAATTTTAATTGGTCCCTCCCTTTTTCCTCTTCTACCACCTAGCTTCTGAAACTGAAGAATATACTCGGTATTTAACTTGATTAGATTGTGAAATATGAAAACTAAATACAAATTTAGGTAACCACCATTTCGTCATCCAGTTCCCAATTCGGTTGTGCTTGCTCGCTTTCTATTTGCTGTTGTGATTCATCATATATTCCTTGGTATTCTATATAAGAATTTGCGTTTTCTTGCCATTGACCATTATTATAATATTCATCGTATGTATATTCTTCTGTGGGAAGAGAAAAGTCAGTTACGTTCGAAGCACCTGCAATTGCATAGGAACCAACATTGTCTCCAGTAGTGATAGAAGCTGCTGATTTTATGTTTGTTATTTCAGGCCCTGAAAGGAGGTATATGATAAGTTAACAGTGTGAAGAATCGACAAAGAAAAAAAAAGGAAATATTTTATTTACCTAGCGGAAAAAATGATTCTGTGATCGTGTTTGCATCTTCATTCTCATTTTTTGTATTAGTGATTGGCTTCTGTTCCTTTTTTGGCGCCGGCAAAAGCGCAAATAAACTACTAGAAGTGCTTATTTTCTGTTTCTTTTTTGGAATTTCCGCAGTTGTTATAATTTCTTCGTCGCTACTCGAAGCGTCCGAGCTGTAATCAGCAACAAGAGACATAATAATAGCTGGTATAAATAAATAACAGTCGTTTGTAAGTTTAGTTCATTCAATAAATAGGAACTTATGCTATGTGACGATCGTCAAATGATTTTCTAAGTGTGATGTTTAAAGATAATTTGGACCGGCAGATCCTCGATTTTGATTGGCTAAGAGTGACGATAAAAGATTAGGCCGGAATTACTCGTAACTTTACTAATGAAATCATAGCTAGGGATGTGTTACATAAATTACTCTGTAATTTTACAATCAATAGTGTATTGTCATGTGATTATGGCGTAATTGATATTTAAAAGTGGTCAGCATTATCAAAGTTTTACCAGTATTATTAAATACACGCTACCTATATTAATATAGCAATACAAACATAAAGTCTTTTTTTAAAGCTAAGTTCTTTTAACATCGATTATATTTGTTTTTAAAAAACATGTTCAAATATAAAACTACAGAATTTTTATTCTTCGTTGTAATTATCAGAGTCATATAGTTATCATAGGAAAATTTAAAAGACTACTTTCCTCTTTGTTATCAACAATGCTTTGACTTTCCTCTTCGTTATCAACAATGTTTTGACTTTTTTCTTCATTATCAACAATGCTTTGACTTTCCTCTTCTTGATTATTTAAACTAATATTACATGTTTCTTGAAGATTTTTAACCAATATAGGTCTTCCTAATTTACGAAAAATTCTAGTATTTCAATATATATAAACAAGTTTTTTTGCCTTCTGGGTTAGTACACAACTTAGAATAGATAAATCTATAAACAGACCAATTATGCTCACTTGCAACTGAAGTTGCAGAAATTGATAAGACCTTACATGCAACTTGGCTCAAAACATGCCTAATAAATTTCACCAATTAATTGGTTTTGAGGTAAGATTTTTTCACAAATACTTTTTTGCAAAATCTTCTGATTTTCTAATATATTCTGCCAATTCTTCTAATACTTTATCTTCATTATCAATACCTGCAATTTGCATTACTTCAGTATTTATCTTATCTGCTCATACTATGAAATCAAGATCTTCTTCACAATATCTTGGGTTAAGAATATATGTGACAATAATTGTTGGGTTATATAAAAAATTTATCTAGTGATTTCTTGTAACTTGTAAAGTATTTTTGCACAATTCAATTAGAACTTGTAAATTTGTCATAGACTTATTTTTTACTTCTTGTAATATTTTATATACCAAGGGAAGATATGGTTTATCTCTTTCTAACTGTTTTATAAAAACAATAAATGGCTTCAAAAAATTACAAATGTTTTTAAGATCTGTCTAAAAAGTATAATCCATTATAATTACTTTAATATTTTCATTAATTTCAACACTATTATTAGCTACTATGGCATATATTGTAGCTTGAGTTCGTAAAACATGATTAAGATATTCAAAAGCTGATATTCATCTAGTATTAACAGTTAATATAAGCACAATTTCAATATTATAAATTTCTTTTTGCAAATAATTAGGAATTGCTATAGAAATTTGGTAATTACAAAAATATAAAGTTAATTTTTTAGTTTTTTTTAGAACTTGTAATGCCTAATGTTTCTTCAAAATGTCTTTAATCCAAAGGTTAATTCTGTGTGCCTAACATCCAAGAAATACTTTATTCAGATATTTATTTTTCAAAATATTCCACGTGGCTTTCATATTGTTTGTGTTATCCGTAATTATACTAACAAATTTATCTATTCCAGCTTTTTGTATTATATTGTCAATTCCTCTAGCAATATTTTCTGTAGTATGGTGTTCGTCTTTAGTACAAACTGACTTATAAAAAATCAGATCAGGTGTAGTTATCATATAATTTATTATTGAAGACTTATTGATATTTGACCAACTATTGCTTACTAAACAATAATAAGGCATTTTATCAAGAATAGTTTGAACAACTTCTTGTTAATTTTTATATTCTTTATTTAGAAGTGAATCAGAAAGAACATGACGCAATGGTATATTAAAAAAAGAACAAGCTTTTTTAAAAAAAGCTTGGAAATCTACGTTTTTTACCATGCTAAATGAAGTACCTAATGTATAAAAAGTGCATGCAAGTAAAGTTTTCAATTTAATTTGGTCTTGCTTTGTAAAATTATCAAGTTTTAAGAGTTTTTGTTTTTTATTAATATTTGAAGATTTATTTGTCTTGCACGAAGTGCATGTGTCTAAGTATTTTTGTAATCAAGTGGCATTTTTTGCCCAATTGTTACTACATGCCTTGCATTTGTAACATTCTTTACCATTTTTGTTAATAAACATAGTATATTTGTCTCATATGTTAGTATTTTTGGTTCGAACTATTTTTTATTGTGTTATAAACTAATTTTTCTAAAAATATATAATTTACCTTTTATATAAGTGTACAAACGAACAAATATAATAAACTTTTTTATTACATAATAATTACAATATATTTGATATATTTTTATTTTAAAATCCTGAAATCAGACCAATAATATAATTTAATTTATGATATAGCTATCATACTTATTAAGAATTACTTGTATCAATATTAAAAAATTGGCCCAGATTTAATACACCAGCATTATAAAATTGGCTTATATTATGACTTGATCAAAATTACATGAAATTTTGATTTCTGAAGATTATACAAAATTTTATAAAATAATGCAAAATAACGGTAATTTTTCATTCCTAATCATAGCTACCTATTAAATAAAAATTGTTTTTGAGCCAATTTTACTATAATGTGGGCTTATTTTTTAAAAATTTATATTTTTGTAATAAAAAAATTAGAAAGTTAATTCCAGCTAGAAATTAGTAACCAATTTTGTAATGTGAGCCAAAATTTTGAAGATCCTCAGCCATTAGCCAATCAAAAACAAGAATCTGCTAGTCCAAATTTGTTGCAACAGCTATGATGTAATATTATTATAGCTATTTTTATTATTTCTAGAACACCTATAAAAAAACTTGCCAAAAAATTTTTTGGCCGGTAATTTTTCGGCATGATCGATATATAAAAAATATAATATCTACATCATAAATTAAATATATTTTTGATTTGTTTAATTTTTATTTACTATAATATTGACATCTAAATTAAATATATATTTAAATTTGTTCAATTTTATTTACTATAATATTGAAGTCTAAATTAAATATATTTTTGAATTTGTTCAATTTTTATTTATTGCAATATTAATATCTAAATTAAATATATTTTTAAATTTGTTCAATTTTATTAACTGTAATATTGATAATATCTACATCTAAATTATATTGTTGTTCCAATTTCAAAAATTACTATAATAAATATAATACTGGTCTACGTACAAATAATTTTATTATTATAATGTCAACATTATTAAAATTTTGTTTGAATGCTTGTCCAATATGTTTAGTGTGT